CGCGCGATTTCACCTTGAATTGTACTCTACCTGGTTCAATAACTATTACTAATCATATCAATAACAAATTTCGAAATTAAAAGAATCTTCAGAGAACTTCTTTTGAGCAAAAAAGTGAGCAGCGCATTCCGTAAGTTTCAAACACTGTAGGAGATATTTAGAAGAAAGCCCTTAATGTGCCAATGGCCAAGGTATCCAATTAGAAGTATCCAGTTACTACAAGTTGTAATTGGATACCTGTAATTGGACACCCAAATGATCACGCATTGACTACCTAACAAATGGGTGCATGGAGAACCAATCACAATCAATAATGTTGTTATTGATACAATTAAGATAATGTTCACATTACTTTTAAATCAAGGCAAGGTGTTGAGAGAGCTGTGGAGATATTGCGTTACGTTATGCTGCACGTGCCCTAGCCCGTGTTATTTTGATCACCAGTTTGATTTCAGCCAATCAGATGCTTTGTATGATTATTTGATTTCGTAACAATTTAAGCACAAGGACCGTCTGTATTTTTGGGAGCCTGCATTGTGTGCAACACTGAGCGAATAAATGACTTAAAGCTGTTTCTTTGTTGTACGTTATTACACATCGATTTCGCTACAAGAGCCCAGAGCCACAGTCATAGTTTCAATCAACCAAATACAATAAACTAGTAGCTGTCTATCATTGTTCTACCAGTAGACATTCAAGGGAGCGGCAACAAACATGCTACGATTTTTATCATATTTATAAAGACAGAAACAAAAGTTGTACTTCCGAGAAATTGCTAGACAAAATGAGATTCTTTAAGTTTGGAAAACTTCTTTAAAGTCTTTAAAAGGAGTATGCTTGCTGAGGGCGTAACATAATACATATGGTATGTTTTTTAGCCATTGACTGTTCTTGTTAGATCAAAAAAGATTGATGACAATGTACAAAATTTAAGAAACCTATTAAAATCAATGTAAGCGTTGTTGTGTAGTCTACACTAGTCAAAGCCTTACATTTGTGCTACATTTAATTTCAACTTTGGTAAAGAAATTATTAAAGGTTATTGTATTGTTCTAGCCTTCTGGTTCTCAGACTCCTGAATGATTTATAATTAGAACAAGTTGTGTTCTAAAATGTTGCTCAAAATTGTAATCTCGAGAATGTTACTGTTTTCATCGCCAGAAATATAGTTATTAGTGTTATTCAATCATTGAAAATGAAATTATAACTCAATAAATAAGTTATTTTAATATGGTTGATTGTAACCTCTCATTTCAATCTATGAACAGAGCTAAACAGGAAGTTGTCATTACCATAACGTGGTGTTCAATAGAGTCCTGGCAAGAACTCTGCCAAGATTAATACAAAAACAATTCAAAGAAGTTAGTAACAGTTTTCAACCTGTTGCTGGTATGGACTTGAGGTAGCAGGCAATTACGTATACGCGTGTTGGAGAGGCACTTGCGAGAGAGGCGTGCGAGAGTGGCCCGTACGAGGCTTCGTTGCCAAGGACTCTTATTGTTTCTCTTTCCTCGTGTTGCCACGTAAAAACCCATTCTATGAAGATTTCTGAGTTCTAAAATTTGATTTAACTTGGACGGTGTCAGCAATTCGGTTTAATTCCTTTACCCGACGCAGGGATTTACAAATTTTTGACGCTTGATCAATCATGGTTGGGAGTTTGGGGTGGTGTGATATTTTGTAAAATGAAACCTTCGATTCCGCTTGAGTGCTTCTGATCTCGTGATCATTACAGACTCTGATCTGCTCAGACAACACCCTCTCTGCTGAAGGAGCGGTTTTCTATTTTATCCGTGGATAACATGGACATGAACTGATTCTAGAAGGTTAGTAGTAGGAAAGCTTTTAACGAGACTTCAGGTCAGGAAATTAACATTCGCTACTGAGAATAATTCAGTTCGCGTGACCAGATGGATTCACCGTTAGGCCAGACACAGCGACAGTGGGATTCTAATCTAAAGTTACTAAGTAGATTTTCGTTCTTGTAGGAATATCCTGTTCATGGCCAGAGTTATACGTAGAAGAGACTGATTCTGGCGACAAGAGAGGCTTTAACGTTTCAGGTAAGCAGGATGAGTTAAATAAAATTTTGAAACGTAAGCACATTTGAGGGACGAGCAAAATTCGGTAACGCCATGCGCCAACAAGCAACAGACACGGAAAAAACCTTACTCATTTCCACAGTTGTATAATTGTTGAGAAGATTTTAATTCAAAATCCAATAATTTGTGAGCTAACTATCATTCATAACAAGCAGTTTAGTCCCAAGATTATATACAATGAAACACGTACGCACTCGCAGAACTGAAAGCGGAAGTCGTGGAATGTGAAATCTAGCCTGTTTCTAAGTTTCGCAAACATTGACACGAATGACTCAGTTATCCTAAACAAACTCATCAGCGTTTGTCAGGGAACAATTTCATCCCTAGGGGTAGAACCAGTAGTTTAATTACCAGCGAAATAAGATCAACCTAAACTCGTGATTTTATTTGCATTTTTAGCGGTAAACACGTAAGTTTACCTCACCACAAAAGATGAGGGCCACATAAACTTTCAGATACTCTGTTCCTAGATTAATTACAGATTGAGACATATATATGATCGGCTGTTGTAATTTATGATCGGGTTCTTTATCGTAGTTTATGTTACATTACTTCCTTAAACCGGGGAGTATTTACAATTAATCAGTAATCAGTATTTACTAGCGAGCAGTAAGTTTAGCAATAACCTGGTAATAATCATTATATATTGCTGTCTTTTTGCCTTGCCCAAGTAGTAAAGGTTTCTCTTGACGCAACTGTGACAAACCCAGCGCGAAAAAGCGAATCTTTATATGGGTTAACTTATGCGTTTAAATTTTCAATCTCATTGCTGCTTTGTTAGCATCAATACTTTCAAGTTTGACTAAGAGCAAATATAATCAGTAAATGTTTGAGCCGACCTCTTTGTTTCTAGAGTTGTATAAACTCCTTGGTGACTGACAGACACTGGCTCGTTTTCAAGTGAGTTAAAAAACAACTGCACGACCATAGAACTTCTCTGCAAGGTAAGAAAATTATGAAAAAAATCTGATATGTGCATTCCGGTCTGTGTTTTTGGCCCTGTTTGTCGGTATATGCATGGATCTATAAAAACACAAAGGTGGAAAGCTTTTGCTTGCTTGCTTTTCTCAATTTGTTGTAGACACCAATCTGTTAATTTACTACTGTGTATGCTTGTTTCCTGGCCAATAAAACAATCCTGCTTCTTTTTTTTATTCTGTACAGAGTGACTTTCTTTACATTCAAAAGAGTTGCCATGCCTGTTTGCAATACAACTGTAGTCTGTTGAATCTTTTGAATTTTCTAGAGTTTGATTTGCATTTGGACCATTTGCGTTTCTGTGTTAAGTCTTGTAATCTCGTTGTTTTATTTACTAGTAAGATGAAATTCATAATGGTTTCTAGCACCACAGTGTTGACTCGT